TTCTCTCGGGGTTTCTCATCCCCGGACGGAATGTGATGAGGGACCGTAAATCTATGCCTGTAGCATCTCCCCAACTCCTGCATGATCGCCGTAGACTCCTTGTGGTTGGTAGACTGGTGGTCGACGTATAGGGTCCAATCCTGTTGATAGAAAAGAATGACTTTAGGAGCCAAGAATTCTTGGACTGTCCATCCTCTCTTGTTCCAAGCACTCCTGGCCAACGTACAAGATTTGGATGAAGGTAGAACGTCCGACAGATAGACAATTGTGAGCGCTGAGTTGTGATACCAACAAACATGGAGTTGACCGATTTTTGGAGCTCGACATTGTTTTTCTGGTCGATGCAGCACGTGTCCATCCACGCCCATAGGAAGCCCGCGTCCACGAGTGATTTCGCAGAATGACTGCAACTTCGTGGTGCTGTCAACTGGATCCAATTCGTACACGACCTTGTCTTGGATGTCATGCAGCAGCGGCTCCTTTTCTCCCCACCTATGTGATAGCATGACCCAATGAAAGTACTTGGCCACCACGTCTCGGATGTGCTCCAATTTGATTTCCGCATTCTTGATTATAGATGCCAACAGCTCCTTGTATTCTGCACTCGTCTTGAAAGCATGTGTCTGGGCCTCTCGATCACATAACCACCCATCGGATGTGTTGATTAGACGAAGTGGGGCATTGTCGAGGTGAGCATGGAGAACTTGTCGGATAGTGCTTTCTGCTTCAAATGGACTGATACAGTGTTGGTACAGCTCTGGACGAAGAGTCAGGTATGTGACACGTGTGTTACTCGGGGCTTACTTGTATTTGCGAGTCGGAAGCCTCATCCAGTTTTAGCAACATGATTTGGAAAGCTTCGATGGCTTCGTCGTAACATTGCGCTCCATGAAGCGCCTCGTGCTTTAGCTGGTATCCAAGATAAGCCGAAGGATTGAGTTCGATGACCTGTCCATGTCTGAAGTAAGCATAGCTTATTGTGAAACAGATGCCGCCGCACCTTTTCCGCATCGAGAAGTGCATCCTCCCATAGCATTTTCAACAACCTCGCCTTACTTCGGTTTGCAAAGATGGTATCGGTTGCAGAGTCCAGCTCGATCGCCGCTGAGTACAGTTCAATGGCCCGGTCGTAGTCCTTCTCAGCAAAGGCAGCATCTCCACTCGCACCAAGCTCAACAACTCCATTGGCAGCATAGAGCGCGTTGCATTCTCGCATGAATGCTAAGTTATATGCGCGTGAGGATTGTAGCCCGGGCGACATTAATGAAGACTTGCCAGTAGACCATTCAAGGCAGCTCGCCTTCATAGTTTCGTCACTCATATCCATCATGTATCGGTGCGATTCGACTGCTTCTCCAAGCCTGCCTGCGCGAAGGAGTGCATCGCACTTTTCTTGTTTGCATTTTGCCACAAGGACTCGAGGTCCCACCCGAAAAAGCTAGACAACGCACGCCGTTAGGCATGGACAAAAACTCACGGTTGCGTTGTGTTCACGTACCACCACAAAGTCTTGGTATTTAGAATGAATGTCCAACTGCGATGTGCAAGCGCTGGCCTTGACAGCTGCGGTGAAGTGGTCAGCAGCTTCGCTGTGACGCCCGCCGTCTGAGACATTGGTACCCAGGAGGACGCATAGATATGCCTGGCGCGCGGAGTTAAGAAAAATTCTGTCACACACGAACCTGGATTTGGCAGAAGTCACAAAATACATAAAACTCACTTCTACGACACGACACGCAAGAGTGTCGGTTTTGGGACAAACAGCAGCCAACTCTTGGACCCGCAGCATTGCGTCCTCATGCTGATTTCCATTGAAAAGTGCAACGGCCTGAGGATTGTGTTGAAGTAAGGAATACGCGAGAAGAAATTGGCGTCCTTGCCTCAATCAAGAGAAGAAGAGTGGTCTCCGAATCACTTTTCGTGAACAGCGATGCGAGGTCAAATGCCCTTATCGCATCGTGCGGGTTATTCTTTCCGCACAGGGCAATGCCCTTGGAGATATAACCTGTCAACGAGGAGTGGAGACTGACGGACTGCCCCACAGTGAAAATTAGCAGGGGATCCATGATGGATCAACGAATTGCACCTCAAGTGCGTCTTGAAGTGCGTGGTCCCAGTCCTGTTTCCGCGACATCACAAATGACCGATTTGCATAAGACTGATAGTTGTTGACACCGCTGCCTTGAATCTCTTGCGTTAACAGCTCTTCAGCGATTAGCAAGTCCCCAGTTATGCACGCGTTGCGGAGTTCCGTGTTTATAGCAAGGACGTGTGACAAGTTTCCAGTTACGCGAGAATTAAGGATGCCACGTCCATAGCGAGAATCTCGCCAGAAGTGCTTGCCCGTATCTCAGACAGCAGGGGGCGCACCTCTGTTTTCTGAAAAGCTTCACGGATATGGGTTTGCGAATCACTGGTGAGCAGGATGTGCATCACGGGTAAACGAGGCTCACGAAGCACTTGGGCAAGCAGGGTGATGAGATCGGCAAGCTCAACTTTGGATGTACATTCATGAAGGGCATCGACAACAAACACCAAAGGTGGACACCCGCGCAGCCTAGCCCAAAGCCACCGGAGAGGTAAGAGAAAGAGTGCTTCCATCTGGTCACGAAGAGACTTGTCGGGGTCTAGAAGGGCTGGATTGTCCCGGATGCATCTTGCCATGTCATTCCGGATGACAGGATGAGCGCTCACAAGCTGGTAGGCAAGTGTCGCAAAAAAATATCCAGTTGTTGAGCGTTTCGTGTGTTTGCGCGAGAAAACGAAAGATCCCGCGAGCCGCTTTTCGACATTCTGATCACCTGCTATCTTCAGGCCTTTCATCCTTTCAGCTGCATTGAATGCAACAGCAGACTTTCCGACACCCGCTTCCCCATGAAGCCAAATAAGTCGGCTCTTGCTTTCGTCGTCCAATAGTGCGTTGACGCAGTTGGTAAGATCTACCCAGGACCCTTCCAAATGTCTCGGATGGGGCTGGCGTTCACGAGAGTCATACTCAGCGCCCTTGACAAAGACATGGGACAGCTTCTCCCAACTTGAACTGAAAGCCTGATCATCCGACATAGCCTGTTGATGACTGATTGACAAGGATTGACGATAGATTATGACACTAATTGTAAGATGCGATAGAACAACGTACTTACTTTGGAACGACAAAGTGAATAGATATTGATGATCTCGACGGACGACGTATGTGGATCCAGTCGCGAGAATCAAGTGTTTCGTGAAACGATATATTAACCGTTAACGTCAGACGGTAGTGTGACCAGTCGTCGGTAGGTTGTTGTTCGAGTCCGGCACGTGGGCTTCTGCGAGGATACTATACCTCACGGCTGAGTCGTCACCCCCATAAGTCGTCAGGTCACGCTTTTGTCACAGCAGGTCACTACTGCCGCTTTCAGAATTTGCTCGGCAACATACAGTAATACAGCGGTATTTGCGTTTGCAAATTTCATGCACTCACCTGCAACACAACAACGCAACATTTCGAAAATCGCCTTGGGCGATGAACTTAATTATACATAAACTTCGTAGTTTCAAATTTTGAAGCACATCAGATAAGTCGTTGTTGCACGATGAATGTTCACTAAATTTGAGCCCTTATCACCTGCACACCGTCATTTGCGTCGACTCGAAAATGGTAAATGAACTTCTGCGATCAGTTCGCATTACGAAATTACTAATCGATGACAGACCCTCAATGCCTAACAGTTGTCCTCGCCATCTTCACCATCATCAGACTCGGATTCCTCAGCTGCCTCCTCATCAACGTGAACAATTGTTGGCTTTGGTAATGGTGCTTCAAGTTTGCCAAGTTTTGGTTTTATCCACATCAGATGCCGTTTCTCCACCTTGGCTTTCGCCTGCTCTGCCATCAGTGAGCACCTGAGTCCTTGATATTGTAGCCGTGGGAATTACATGAGGGCCTAATTATTTTACTCCCAAAGATGACCATGTATACTACGAGAAAATTGATTTGTTTGTAGCTAGCCATGTATACTTACCACTATAGACTGGCAAGATGACTTTGTGAAAAAGTTGTAACATGCCACCATCACAACTAACAAGGGTTGACAGAGCCCTTATATTGATGTTGTTGAGCAATCTCACTTGATGTCATTTATGCTTCATATTAGGAGATCATTCAAGACTTTCCCAAGGACAGTCATTTTAGCACGGGCCAGCAATGATAGATTCGCCTGTCAGTTTGTGACAAATTCATGAGACATCACCATCACAGGCAGCAAGGGATGGGAGTGTACTCCCATTAATGCTGTTGAACATCCTCGGTTGCAATCAATTATGCACCAGATTACAATGTCATCTAATACATTCCAAAGCACAGGTCAACAGGCTTACATTCACATACCCCTTCGAAATATCATTAGATGCAGCTGCAAACACCAGCACAGACTTATGGCGCATTCTATCAACTTCTTCGAAATGTCTTATTTTACATGGTTTATGTTTAAAATTAAATTGTTATCCAGGGCCTTCTAGAAAGAAGTGCCTTTGACAATTGCTAATGCATGTTGAGTAGCATTCCACCTCGTTTCAAAATTGTGATGTTCCACCATCACTGCAGACCCTGGCCATGTGAGCTTGGCCCACATCTTGAAAGTTTTCAGGCAGTGAGGTGTAGAATGAAAGAGCACAGGCTCAATATATGGTGACAACTAATAGGACGAGGAACAAGGCAAGTAAACATTTAGTAGGACTGTTCAGAAAGACAAACAGTCAGTATCCTCTTCCTCGTCCTCATCCTCCTTGGTTTCCTCCCCATCTTCAAAATCCCTCTCATCTTCACTGTCGTCATCATCACCTTCACTCTCATCATCACCTTCACTCTCATCATCACCTTCACCCTCATTGTCACCTTCGCCATGGTGTTGAATATTGCTCTCCCTGTCATTGGTTCTGTCATTCTCAGAGTCTGACTCAGAACAGTCTGCTAAATCTGCATTAGCATAATCTCTTGTCATCTCCTGCATGATGGTGGGATGTCTGATTCCACAGTGTGTGTAATGCATGAAGATGTCTCGATCCGCGAATCTGAGTGATTTGCAGCTTAAGTAAGAGAAAATGAGATTGAACATTGCACTTACATGCCAACATAATATGCCTCCCAGTTGTCTAATCCATCATTTTGACATGCAAATGACTTTCCATAGCACAGAGAGCTTGTTCCCCATCCAGAAGCAAAAGCTGGAATCAAATGTGTGCTTCTGATGACCTGGCTGGGATTGAGAAATCCAAATGCATCGGAGTCAGCCTCTTTGATGAAAGCTACCTTTGGCAGTTGAGTGCAATTCATCCCTGACCAGTGACCGGTCAATGGGGCTAGCCATCTAACATAGAGAGCTTCAATATGGTGCGTTTTCATCGAACCATCAGCATTAAGCCATATGTCCATGTGAAATATGCCCAGAACACAGGCATACCAGTAAGGGTGTTGGGGTTTTGTTTCTGTCATATCCTGTATGCCAGACATAGATCCCATCATATTCCCACGCTTTCCGGACCTATTTCCGGACCCCATATCCGACTCATTCCTGGATCCCCTATCCTGTCCACCCTATGCACATTCCATCCAGCAAGACATCCGGACTTTACCTCCTCTTGGATTCTGGACTACATCCACCACCTCACATATCTCAGTCCTGTTTCCGCCCTACCTTCTGGATCCCCAGATCTCTGGACCTCCAGATATTAACTGTTACTATCTCCGGACCTATTCCCGCCCTCTATCCGAGATCCTGCGCCTATCCCCATTTAGGCATCTCTGCCTTTCTGGTTCTCGGTTATCTCTGTTTCTGTCTTGCTGATTGATCCTTGTACTAGTTTCATCTCTGAGTTCATTTACTTATGTTCTGTCTTACTTACCAATGTGTTTCCGCATGCTCGTACATAGCCTTACTCCTTTGCTCACTGATCCTCTTGGATAGCCTCTAGTATATAACCCCTGTACAACTACAGTAGAGTCCTCAGTCTGAATATCATCTTAGTTCCTACTCTATCATCTTAGATCCTGTTCTACTTGCCAATCATCTTCTGGACTTCAGTCCGTCTGAGTCTTGTCCTTTTCCATAAGGCCTAGGGATGGACTCCCTAGGCTGGAATTCCAGACCTCCGGATTTGTCCCCTATGTCTCTGTCCCAAGTCTAGGGATTGCTTCCCTAGGCTAGAGTCTTGCCTTTCCGGCACTTACCCTCTTTCTGGACTTAGGTCCACTTCCTGTCCCTCTGACTCTACCTTAGGGTAGTCTACCTCCGTTTGCTTCTATATTGGACTTCGTCTGATGTAGCCCCTATTCCTTCTGGACCTCCTGTCCTCTATACCTCTGGACATCCTGTCCTCGGATGTTCTGCCCTCCGTACCTTCCATCCTGTTTTCCTGTAGAAGTATTACCTTGCAGTGGGAACTCTCCTGAGCATTTCCTGCATTCCTCTGGAACTCTCCTGTGCTCCTCCAGAAGTCCTCTGGACTTTGTCGGACCATCATCAGACTTCCTCTGAAAAGAAGGGCACATACTCGGGTAAG